GGCTGGAGGGGGGACAGTCTCCATATCCTCCTCGTCTCTGGCTCTTGGTAACACTCTCTACTCCCTCAAGCTGATCGCCCCATAGGGCTCTGAAGTAACCAGCTGCCTGTTTGGTGTTTGGCCAGGTGGGGTGGATCCTCTCCATCCTGGACCAGTTACGTCTGAATCCCCCTCCTCCTGTAGCCATCCTCCCTCTGGGGACAGGGAATGACCTGGCCAGGACTCTGAACTGGGGCGGGGTAAGTGACTCAGGGGCAGGGGGCGGAGAGGGGTACTTGCCCTGGGCGGCGGGGATCATAGGGCCCTGGTACTACTGGCTCCCGAGCTTGGGCACAGGTGGTTGGAGGGGAGGAGGGGTCTGAGCTGTGATGGCAGGACAGAGGTTTGGTGTGTGGGAGAAGTGGAGCTAAGCCCCCGGAGTCAGTGTTGTGTGTGTGGTGGGGCGGGGGGGAGCTGAGCTTTTTTCTCTGGCGTTGGGAGTTTTCCCACTTGCACTCCATGCACTGCCATCTTGGAGCTGGGAATAGTGTACCCAAGAGTTCCCAGCAGAGGAGGTGTGTGCAGTGAGGGGCGGGTGTGGCTGGACATGGTAAGGGCTACGTGCTGGAGGTGTGGCATGTGGCATAGATGCCACAGGGCTGGGACTGGCCTGTGGCTGGCACATGGGGATCCCTGTGGTGTATGCATCACCCAGAGGCCTGGTTTCTCCCCAGATCACCTTTGCCCCCACCAATGACATCAGCTGTAAATAGGAATCCACCCCCTTGGGAGAAGTAACTAATTGTGCCACCTGGCAAGCCGCTGTGGTGTGCTGGGAGTCACTGTGGAAAACACCCACGGAGACGGAGCCTTTTAGGCTGCAGGTTACACAGTGACAAATCCCGGCCCTATGTATCCTGTGTTCTCCCCACTCTTTGCTCTGGGGCACCTGGCCCTGCACACCCCCTCTCCGGTTAGGGGAGCCAAGTTGGGTGGCTCACTGAGCTCTGCCTTGGCCCATAGGGTTACACAGACGAGCCCTTGTCAAAGATCCTCTCTCACGTGGAGGAGGGAAACATTGTGCAGCTCGACCGCTGGAATCTCCAGGTGGAGCCAAACTCCGAGGTGAACCCTGAGGAAAAAGACGAGACGGCCACAGACAAGGTGAGAGAGACACAGAGCTCCTCCACCATGGGCCAGCATTCTCCATCTATCCCCAGCTCAGGCAGCACTCGACTCCCCAGGGAGTATTTTCCCCCCCGTTTCCATTTTCTCTCCTCGTGGCTCAGAGGCCCCTCCCTGCCTCCCATCTGGGAGAAGCTGCCCCAGGGGCTAGTGGCAACCAGAGCTGGCCCAAAGGTGCAGGTCTGCAAGAGACTTGGAGGACTCGCTGCAAGCAGACCATTTTTTTGGCACAGAGACCCTGAGAACAGCAAGTGTCTCGGAGCAGAGATCGTCTGGCTGCTTGGTCACTGCTGGCTCACCCTGTAAGAAGGGGGACTGAGCAGCTGGAATGGGGTTTGGTGGAGAGGAGACGTCCCTGCTTCTCTGGAAAACCCTCTCTGGGGATCCTGAAGGTTCCTGGGGAAACGGGCCCCAACCCCTGGTGCATTTGGCACAGAGAAAGCATCCGCTGACTGCAGTTGCCACCCCGTTCCACCCTAGTTGCTGATCTGGGCTGGACACTGCATCCCCGTTGCCTGTGTGGATGCTGAGCCTGGGCTGAGGGCTGAGCATGGATGTGCTCAGGGCAGCAGAAAGGACTATTCCATCCCCCTCAGTATATCCCTCATTCAGGCCAATAGCCGCCTCTGTCTCAATTACTCCCTCTGCTGGCAGTGGCCCCTGTACATGGCTAGTGAAGTGTGGTGTCTCCCTTGCAGTAACCCTACATTCCTAGCCCCATGTCTGGTCACCACGGTTCCCAGCCTCAGCCTCCTCTTTTTCCCTTTTCAGCTTCCCCTCGATGTCTTCAATAACTATTTCAGCCTCGGCTTTGATGCTCGCGTGACACTTGAGTTCCACGAATCTCGAGGTAGGTGGGGGCTGGAGTAGGGTTGGCTGGTACTCTCTGCGCAGAGCTGGGCTGCAGAGTGGGAGAATCTTGGGATTTAGGGGGGGGGTGAACGGGGGAAGCAGGTTTGTAATCTGGGGGTGCCCCCAGCTTGGTCAATTGAAATGCCTTTGTGGTAGGGAGATGGCAAAGAGAGAACCAACTGGGGGGAGGGTGGGGGGAACTGACCAGGAAGAGGGTGGGAATAACCAGATAGGGGAGAGGAAGCTGCAGAGTGTGCGTGAATGAAGGGGAGGGGGAGGAAGAAACCAAGGCGTGTGGGAGAGGCAGCTGGCGAGTCTTGGGGGAGGCTGGTTAGTGAGCCTGGGAGAGTGAGGCTGGGGCGACAGGCAGCTGAGTTGCTCCTGGCAGTGAGGGAATGACACTAACGTCTGTCTTCTTTTTTTTTTTCTTCTCTTTCCCTAGAGGCCAATCCAGAGAAATTTAACAGCCGGTTTCGGAATAAAATGTTCTATGCTGGGGTGAGTGTGTGGGACTCCTTGGAGAGGAGCGGTGTCTGTCTAAGCTCCAGCTACTCTTAGAGATTTCAAAAGCTGCTTTCTCTGGGGAGCTACTAATGGGGTTTCTGAACTATAAGGACTCAGCTCTTTTGATCTCCCCATCAGTATGTCCCTCCAGCCCCATGATAATTGTTTTAGCTCTTCTCTGAACTCCATCCACTGGCCTTCTTGTACTGAGGGGCCCAGGCCCAAAAACAGTGTCACAGATAGGACCCCCTAGACCTGTATTAGAGGATGATTATCTGCTTCCTGCCCTGGGATGAGGTCTTTGCATATGCAGTCCCCAGGTTGCATTAGCCTTTGTCCAACCCTATCGTAGTGGAGCCCCCTGGCTAATTTGTTCTTCCCCTTGCATCTTGGCTGCTTCTGCTTCCCAGAGCTGTCCATCCCATTGAGGATCTGGGTTTGGGGGATTAGCTGTGTTACCCTAGACTGCATGTCATATTGTTTCATGCCCTCTCGTAACTGCCTCGCACTGAGGAGGCTGGTGTCTTGTTCCCGTATTGGGCCCAATAACTTTTGTTTGGCCATATTTTCTCACAGCCAGAGAATGAACTTGCATTCCGTGCACCCAGTACTGCGTCCCACCTGGAGAAGGAGGTGCCCTAGCCCTAGATTACAGCTGCTCCTGGAGGCCCGGCCTGGACATGGGGGGGTTGCGAGTTAGGACTGAAGTCCATTGTCAGAGCTGGGTTATCATGGGGTGCGTCAGGTCAGGAGTGAGGAGCATCTGCAGCACTGTATCAGGAAGGGGAAATCTGCCGAAGGTGCAGTGAGGCCTGGAAGAGGATTTGCCCAGTCTCAGGAGTCTCGGGGGCTTGAATTGAGACTCAGTAGAGCATGAAGAGTCCATGCGATCCAGCTGCTGCTCAGGGACGCGGTCTCCAGGCACTAACCTTGTCCCTTGTGTTGGCAGACGGCGTTTTCCGACTTTCTCACGGGCAGCTCCAAAGACTTAGCGAAGCACGTCAAAGTGGTGGTGAGTGTCTGGAGAGGAGGGGCTGGGATCGTTCCCTGGGAGCGGTGGGGATTGGTGAATCCAGGGCATCATTCCTTTGGGGTTACAGTAACTGGTACCGCAGCGGCTGAGGCAGCTGTTGCACTATGAGGGACATTCCTTGGGTGTTGTAGGGCGACAGCTCCCACTCAGAAGGCAATGAGGAGTTTATTCCCCCCAGAGTACTAGGGCTGGGCTGGGCCCTTTTCTTGCAGACACCCTAGGTGTCTGACTGTCTGTCCGTCTGTCTGTTTTCAGTGCGACGGGACAGACCTGACCCCCAAGATCCAGGACCTGAAGCCCCAGTGCCTTGTCTTTCTGAACATTCCAAGGTGAGTGGCTCCTGCACCCCTGGATGCTGAGCAGCTCCCTGCCCGGTGTTTGAGGAGCCCTCCTGTTGGTCCCACGGTGGTACTCTGCTCCCGTTGTCTCTCTGCAGGTACTGCGCGGGCACCATGCCCTGGGGCAACCCTGGGGAGCACCATGACTTCGAGCCCCAGCGCCACGACGACGGCTGCATTGAGGTCATCGGCTTCACCATGACATCCCTGGTAAATCCGCTCCGCCACTGCAGCAGGCAGGGGAGCTGCAGGTTCTGGCCCCGTTGCCCTGCACCCTGCCTGACCCACAGCTCCCGACCCTGCGACCTTGACTTGAAATCCAGCTGTGCCTGAGGGCGCCAGGCGGCACCCATCCTCTAAGCCTGTGGGACCTTCCAGTCTGCAGCCAGAATGGCTCAGTGTAGTCAGGAGCAGGACCCTGGAGGTGCACCCCCAGGTATAGCTTTGGGGGACCTCTGCCAGGAACAGCGGAGCCTTGTGTGCAGGACAGCAGAGCAGCCTTCCCTAGAACGCTCCCCAGCCTGCACCCTGTGCCTGGGTGGCTAGTGGTGGGAGAGAATTCAAACACCATAAGCCTTGTTTGCTGGGGTCTTTGTGTGCCTCTGCATCCTCTCGCCTGCCTCCCCACCCAGGGCCGCTCCAGAGCTGAGACACCTGTGAGGACTCCAGCATGTGCTGGTCTTTGTGGATTCCTTCTCCCTGGGGACTGAACTGAGCCCCTCCAAGCTCAGTTTGCTTGTGACTCCACTTGGTGTTGGATGCTGCTGCTCTAAGGTATGGCCGTGAGCCTTTTCGCCACAGGCAGCCCCACTGTAACCCTGGTTCTGTTTGCAGGCTGCCTTGCAGGTGGGTGGACATGGAGAGCGGCTGCACCAGTGCCGGGAGGTGATGCTCACCACATCCAAGGCTATCCCTATGCAGGTGGACGGGGAGCCATGCAAGCTGGCAGCCTCCCGTATTCACATCTCCCTGCGCAACCAGGCCAATATGGTGCAGAAGACCAAGCGACGCAACTCCATGCCCCTGCTCAATGAGTACGTTCACCTGGCGCAGGGTAACCCTGGGGGCCCCAAACCCAGCAACTTGTCCAATCTGGATCGGTTCCTCACCTCCACAGCAGCAGGGCATGGGGTGGTACCAATCCAAAAGGGCATAATTCAACCATTTATTCTGGGTGGCCTCTCCCAGCTCTTCACACTTCACAGTTGCCTCCAATAGGCATGAGCAGGGAACCTTCCAAAGGATCTCTGGGCAACACTGGAAGGAGAGTGAGAGGAGGCTTGAGTTATGGGAGCCATCTGCTGCAGAAAATGAAGCCTTAACTGTTGTCACCTGCTGCTGGGACTGGGTTAGCAAGGAGTTCTGCTACACTCCCTGCAGCACCACTTCCTGGGGGAGTCAAGTACTGGAGTGGCTGGGCACGTCACCCCATGTCCCTAGCCTGCCACACCAGTGCTCCTCCCATTCTGCTTACAGCACCACTTGCTGGGAGAGATAAGTACTGGTTAGCTGGGAGCTCCCTAAGACAGTGCTCTTGCCTAGCTTCCTCAGTTGCCTCTTGCTGGAGGAGGCTGGGCTACTGTAGCCATGAGCTTCTGCCTACATCTATAGGGCCTCCTTTCTAACCCCTGCCCTTTTCCTCCTGCCTGCGTGCAGCCAGCAACCAGTGCCCGAGCGGCTGCGAATCCGGGTGAACCGAATCAGCATGCATGACTATGAGGCTCTTCACTACGACAAGGAGAAGCTCAAGGAAGCCTGTGAGTGACCAGCCCGGGTGCCTGGGGGCTTTGGGAGTGTGCTATCCCAGGGGGTTATGGGTGAGGTCTCCTTGAGCACTTTGGGCCACAGGGCCATTGGGGCAGCTCTGGGCAGCCGCAGCTCTGCGGTAACAAAGCCATGGTCTGCGGATGGAGTATTGCATGCTTGAGCTGTAGTCTCTGTGGGTGGCTGTGGTCAGCCCTGTTTTATACAAAGTGGCAATGCCCTGTTGTTCTCACCATGTCTCTGGTGCTGTCCTCCGCTGGACAGTGGCCCTGCTGTCTCAGGGGCTCAGTGACTGGGGGGAGGACTGGCAGCAGGCCGCTCCCTAAGATGTCTGTGCTTTGCTTTCAGCTGTGCCCCTGGGGATCATTGTGGTTCCGGGAGATAGTGACCTGGAGGTCTGTCGGACCCACATAGAGAGGCTGCAGGAGGTGAGGCACTGCAGGGGGCGTGGGAGATGGCGGGAACTGATCGTTGAGGGGAGGGAGGCTCTGGAGAGGTCTCTCCTGACCCCCGGTTATGGTAGCCTCGCACAGTTGGCGTTCTGAGCATCCAGCATTGGCCTTTGATGGAGACCAGATCCCAGGCTAGAGGGATCATTGATCTGTTGAGTCTGACAGCTCCCGTGTATCGGCCTCACTATTTCCCTTGTCGCCATCCTGCTCACCCTGCCCTCTAGTCCTCTCCAGTGTGTTGGGCAAGGAGAGGCCGCTAGGCAGGTGGAAAGAGAAGGCTTTTGTCCTGCACTGAAATATGTTCCACAAGATCTTAGTCCTTCCCCCAAACCTGGGTACACTGTAGTCAGTCTCCCCTGTGTCAGGTGCCCCTTTCTCTCCCCTCTTGCACTATTGTGAGCTCCTTCTCAGCCCTCACCTCTGGGGAGCAGAGAGTTCTGCCTCTCCCCAGTGCCTGTAGATTTATGCTTTTCCCCTGCCCAGCTCTCCTCTCTCATGCACAGACGGGGAAGCTCTGGAGGGTGTGTCTGATTACACTGCACTAGCCCAGTACCCAGGTTTCTTCCTTCCCTACCTCCTGGAAGGGATTTTGCCTTGCCTGGAAGAGCCCTGCACAGCCTGAAAATGGGCTCCTTGTGGCCTAGGAAGTGCTGCAGGATCCCTGTCTGGTTTGAATCAGTGCTCCTCTCTCTCTGGTCAATCTACCATGTTTAATTGCAGAGCACATTAGGCAGGCTGGCATGAAGGGACCTGCCTATCCCTCTCTCTCTCTCTTGTCTCTGCATTTCTGATGGACCCTTCCCTGCAGTGACAGGATGGGGGACACTCGCAGGCAGGTGGCTGGGCAACCATGATGATGGGTTTGGTGAGGGCCTAGCATCTCAGCCCTTACCCAGTCCCATCCCTCTCATAAAGTCATGGGAAGCAACTATGGCCACAACATGGGGAAGTTCCTGCAGCTGGAAGGGGTGGGGGTTCTAGAGAGTGGCCTGGCCTGTCTCCTGGCTGATGCTTTAGATGACATGTCTGAGCACACAGAAGCTGGGCAGCTTGGGACACGTAGCTATTGGTTTCAGCTGCTGCCTTTCTCCCCTATTTCTCATTCCATCTGGAGCACGTCATCACTAAACTCTGAACCCATCTGCATGATGCAGGGCAGTGGGGGCTCAGTACTGGGAATGCATAGGCCGGGTGGCTACATGCGGTGGCAGGGGCTGGCTCCTCATACAGGAGGGGGCACAGAACAGGCTCTGAGACACAGAAGGGGGGCAGCTGAATGAATGTGGTAACCCACCCCCTTCCCTCTTTGCAGGATTTTCTTCCATGCCCTTCTTCTTTACAGTGCCTGCTCCTTCAGGTGTGTATCACCCACCTCCCTCCCCTCCGGGGGATCTCTGTCATGTACATGGTGCCAGGCTTGTAGGCTTGTTTGGACACCTCCCCAGTGAGTTTGGCGGATTTGTCTCCAGCTGCACCCCATGCCATGCCTGTGTTCCCCACCCCTTGTGTCATGCCCCCATGTGCCCCACTGTCTCCATGCCACGCCTGGATGCAAACTGCTTCTGTCAAAGGGCCATAAATCTGAGCCTGTCTGAATGCCCAGTGCAGGAATGAACCCAGGAAAGGTTGGGGGGAACAACGAGGAGCTGGGAAACGTCACTCTCTTCTCTTTGTGCAGGAAGGGGATGGAGCCAAATTAAAGACACTTTCATCCCAGAAGCTGTCTCCCAAGTGGTGTTTCTTAGACTGTGAGTATCCTCTCCATGGAGTACAGTAGCACTGGTCTGCCCTGGGAGGTGGGGTCGTGCTCTGATTCGCTCTAGAGATGTAGCAAAAGTCCCAAACCAATAATGCCCTCTGGGAATGCTTGTTCCCTGGGACACGCTGACCGGCTCACCCCATGGCACCATTTCCATCGGCCTGGTGCTCTCTGCATGTGGCGCCCCAGCAGTCAGGCAGTTGCCCCATTACCTTTTTCTCAGTTTGCTTAGGTGCCTGAGTGCAGCAGCTCTGAGCTGAAGGAATATGCCTCCCTGCCCCCAGAGCAGCAGCTGTGCCCAGTGCCGCTGGTCATGTGAATCCAGCAAAGACTGCCAGGTGTGGAGTGTTTGCTAACAGTACACCTGGCCTCAAGACCTTACTTCTGGCCTGTGCATGGCGCAGGCTCTCCAGGATTGGGCTGAGGTGCTGTGCCTGTGTTTGACGGACAGGGGGCTCCCTCGGGCTGGGAACGCATCCTCAGGGAGGCACTGCAGAATCTTCTGTACCCGTCGGGAATGGTCTGTGTGTGCAGCCACTGGCTATATTCTATGCCTGGCTGACACAGACTGGCCTCTTCGTGCAAACAGCCTTTTCCTCCCCAGTACTCGGGGTGCTACCCATCAGAAGGGCCCATTATTCTCCCTCTGTATGGGGGAGAGGACTACCAGTGTCACTCCAGCCCAATGACTTCCAAGGGGAGTTTCCTAACTACAAATAGTACTGTGGTCTTTAATAGAGCAAGTGAGTACTCCTAGCCCTGTACTAAGTGTTCAGAGTGTGGGAGGTTGGGGGAGAAGTGAATTAGGAGCCCTGCTCCTGAAAAGTAACTCCAGTGCGATAATGACCAGTCAGCGTGGACCAGAGGGGAAGCGGGCGGGGAGAGGGAAGGTGAAAACTGAGAGCTGGTCCCAGATTCTCCCAGCAGGGGGCACTGCAGTGAATAGTGTCGGAGCTTTGGTCAGGAGGGAGCTGCTGCAGTGGCAGCCTTCTCCAGCAGGAGGTGCTCTACAGAGCAGCATAGCTGCTGCAGTGGGAGATGCGTTTGTCCATCTCATTCAATTACAGGCTGTACATTGGTGCCTGAGGAGGAGGAGAGTGCCTGCTGAGCCTGTGACCCAGACGACTGTGTTTGCAGGAGCCCCCGAGTGCTGGGGCAAAGCAGTGGGGACTTGTTTACAAACACGGCTTTGTTCCAGCTCCTTTCTCAGCCCCTTCTCCCCTTTCTGCCCCCGCCCGAGGTCGACACTTTGTTCCCAAAGCTCCAGGCTGCATATTCACTTTTACTAGCATATTTTTGGTGTCTCTGTTTTTGGTTTGAGCTATTCCCTGGGAATCCCCCACAGCCTGGGACAATAGGGGCTTTTGTGCCCTTGTAATGGTGCTGGAGCGAGTTCCCAAACACACAGGGAGAAGCTCACGCAGGGACACCAAGCAGGGCACTGCACTGATCTTCAGAGCCAGCAGGCCTGCACCAGGCACTCACTGGGCACCAGCCGCACCACCTGAGGAGCCTGACTGCAGATAGACAAGCTGGGCTTCAAGGGGGAGACCAGCATTTGACCCCACCCCAGGGGAGACACTGGAGGGACCAGGGGAATGAAAAGGCCAGAGCCTTGTCCCAGACGCTGTGAGGATAGGTTGCTCCTTCCTATCCAATTTCTGGAGTTTCTGTTCCTCTCCCTGTTTCCCTTGTGTTCATTTCCTCTGGCTGCGCCTCCCTCCAGGTTCCCCACCAAATCTCTGATTTCAGGAGCACACCTTGGCCCCATCACTGCCACGTCCTCCAGGAGGGGTGTGTGTGCCAGGAGCAGTCCCAGCAGGGGTGCAGGCGTTGCCCCCTGAATTTGGCTAGTGGTGGGGAACCAAGCCAAGTTAGGTTCATTCCCTTGTCTCCTGGGAGTGTGGGGTCCCACCTGGTGGGGGTGGGGCGGACACCCCACTGCATGCACCGCTCACATGATCCCTGCTCTCAGATACTGCTGCTGTGGATTATTTCCTCCTTTCGCTGGTTTCCCAGCAGCAAGTTCGGCGCTGAGGAAAATGTGCCAGGAAAGAGGTTGGAGCTGCATTCAAGGGCGACGCAGGCTCATTAAAGTGGCTGAATTACAGACCTTCGTTAGCAGCTCCGTGGCTGTAAATCTCTTGCAGGGACAGGATAAACGGGGCTCTTTCACTCCTCTAATCTGCTCTGGCTTGTGTCATGGACACCCCTCCCCCCCATTCTTGTTCTGTTCCTAGAGAGAATTCCCCAGTCCCTTTAGGGCCCAGCCATAGCAACCCCAGCCTGGGCAGCAGTCCTCAGCCCTGTGGGGGGCA